TGGTCCCCTAATTTCATTCCTTAATTTACTAATAAATTGTTGTAATTTATCCTTAGCAGGATAGTTACCATGCGAATCCACTTGATAATACAATGCTACAATTGCATCCCAATATTCATTCACAGTTTCTTCAGGTTTTTGAATTTGATTCTTCAATTGATTCATCCACCTTGACTTTTGATAAGGAGTACATCACTTGTGACAGAAACAATATATAAATGATTGATCCTGTTGTAGATTATTGTCCCAGAGAGTAATGTGATATCCTACTCTTCTTCACCAAGTAAAAGCAACTCCTTTTAAATAGACTAGAAGAAGATCAAATCGTCATTCCTCTACCATATTGTTGGCTATGCAAACATCATGAAAACTATGTAGCCAAGCTAATGGATCCTGTTCTTCTCCGTCAAATGTTGGCAATGATATTAAGTAAGTTTCCCTCATTCCATTTTGAAGCCTTACTTGTTGCATGGTTTGATTTAAGTTTTGTAATGCTATAATATAATCTTTCCTTGAGTTTTGTCCAAACATATTTCTAATTGGGTCTTTCTGTTCATCCTCTTCACTTTGATTATTTCTATTACTTTGATGGTCCTCCTCCCGTTGGTTTTGATGATTTCCTTCCTACTGTAATTGGTATAATTGTTTTTCCCTTTGTTATAATATATTATTATCAGTATTACTGTGATCCATGGCTTGAGCAAATATTATATTCAGGTTTTGATTGGATATGGTAGAATAGTTTTCAGGTGTAATGGAATTGTTTTCACTTGATTCAGGTGAGGGGCTAATGTTAAAGTAAGACCGGATAGCAGAAAAATATCTCAGTGGTAAAGATGCTTGTGATATTGTCCAATTCCGATGTGTATTACTTATACAATCCTTTTAATTGACAGATCCTTCAAGGCAACTGTTCTGGTTTCAATTTCCAAATTAATCGCTTCTTCAAGAAAACTAATCCTGTTGCAATTTTCAAATTAATCGCTCCTTCAATAAAACTAGTCTTGTTACAATTTCCAAATTAATCACTCCTTCAAGGAAACTAGTCCTGTCGCAATTTCCAAATTTATCGCTCCTTCAAGAAAACTAGTCCTGTTGCAATTTCCAAATTAATCACTCCTTCAAAGAAATTAGTCCTGTCGTCATTGCCAAAAATGTGACCAAAATTCTTTTGATCAAGTGTCTGAATAGTAGTTTTTAGAAGGAATTAGAGATTATATAGAACTATCCATTGTTCCAGAGATAATCTCTCACAAATATTATAAGAAATGACAAAGATTTCCCAAAAATCTTTGTAATCAAAATGTATTTAATAAAATAAGAATATTTATTAAGATACAAAAACAGAATTCCAAGCGATTACAAAAGTGAGTTATTCTAAAACTGAAAGATTAAATTCATGCACAACAGTTACTTATATAATGTTTTTTCTATATAGGCTGCCTAGGCTGCTTGGGCTGCCTGATCTATATGTCACGATGTCCTAATTTCATAAATTAGATAGTCTTGTAAATCTTTTGAGTCTTGTAGGCTGCTTAGACCTTCTGTGCTGTCTGATCTATGTTATATGAACTATAAATAACTATATATGCTATAAATAACTAAATAAATGCTATTGCTAAAAATAGAATAGAAAATAATCCAATAAAAAATAAGTAAAATAAGACTAAGTTATTTATTTTATTACAATATGCTTCAATAAAAATATATATTGATAAAATATTTGAATTGAATTAAATCAAATCAAGTAAAATTAAATCCAAACTTGATTTAAGTCAAATTGAATCAAGCTATATTATGTTTGATTCAAATTTAAACTGTATATCTAAAAATGAACTGAATCAAATCTAGCTAAAATCTGATTTGATTTGAATTGCTGTGATCCCTACTTAGGAGAAAATAAAGATAGAGAACTAATAACAGGAAGGCACTTTAGATAGAAGAGATCAATATAGTAAGCTAAAGTTCCTAGAGGCATACAAATTAGTATAATTCTGAGATGTATGAGGTCAGATGAAAGAGATAATGATAATTTGTTTTTGTAAAGGCTAATTTATTTATGTAATGGTTTAAGTAAAGGAACATGTTGGTTATTAATAGTTTATAATTATTAAAGGAAAACTTTATTAATGGAGAGTGAAGTAAACAACTCTAAAGATAATTAAAGGAAAAATACAGCCTTTAAATACATGTTTTTCCAATATAAATAAATAAAATACATAAAAAATAAAATACATATAATCTTAATGGTTCTCCTGGAGATCATATGAATTAATAAAGAAAAATAAAATAAAATAAAAAAATAAATGAATGATAATATTAATCAAACATATTAATAACATCCTATAACCCCTTAATATCAATTACTAATTGATAACATATGTTAATTAGTGAAATCATGTTAAATTAATAATCACTATAAGTTTTGGGTTTCGCGTCACTCTGGAGCTTCGGGATCAGTGGATGTCATGTGACTTCGTATATGTGTTTAAGTCTAATTATTAGTGTTCTTCAGCTGAAAGTCTAAATCCTTGATTATTAAGAAATTAGTGTTGACAATGTTTTTCGGCCATTAATAAAAGATGTTCCGCTCATCAAAATATCTATAGTCTCTTAAGATCGTTTGAGAGGTTGTCATCTGACTTTTTAAAGAAAATTGGGATTTTTGCCAGGCATCTATAGATTTGTTACAATTTATTTAATAAAAAAAAAGTTCAAATCTATTAATTCCTAGGTAAAACTGGAAACTTTATATACATATTTGAGTTATATTATTTTTGTATATGATAAATATATGTTATAAATTTATTTAATTTCAATAATTTCGATACTTTCAGTTCAGTATCGATATTGCAAAGTTTCATACCAAAAATTTTTGATAATCACTGGTACCGATACTGAAAAATATTTTTGGTATCAGTTTTATGAAATACTGTACTGAATGATACTGATCAGAACTCTAATTATTAACCTATAAATTCAAAATAAAATTGTTTAAAATATATTGATTTAATTAAATTATAATAAATAAATAAATAAATTATTTAAAATAATTTTAATTCATTAATTTGTAAAATAAAAACAAAAATATATAATTAAAAAACAATTTTTATTAAATTTCAAGTTGTTTATTTAATTTTTTAATTAAAAAAATTTATATTAAAATCAAAATTTAAAAATTTTTATAAAAATTTTATATAGTAAAAAATATTTTATCTATAATTTATCTATAAATATATATATATAAACTTATAAAAAATTTTTAAACAAACTTTTTTTGGTTTTCAAATTAAATTTTAAGATAAATTTATTAATAAAGTATTAAAAAAAACTTATTATTTTATTTTTTACATTCTAAAAAATATAAATTTAATAATTATTTATTTATTATAAAAAATATTTATTCAAAGACTTTTTAGACAAACTGTATAAATATTTTTTGAAAATTTATAAACAAATTCAAATATAATTATCTTTATAACTAATTATTGAATAAATCCAATTTTTATAAATAATATATAAATAAATTTAGATTTATAAAAATTTTAATTTTCAATATAAAACTTTTCTTATTAATAATTAAAACTTGTAATAAAATTAATATATTTTTTATTATATCCAAAAACAATGACTTTTAAATTTTCGAAAGATTGCAAATAATCATAACCAACTTTTTATTTCTTCTTAATTCTAATTTATTATTTTAAATATTAAATATTATATATGAATATACAGGCACAGTATTATAATCTTGCTCGCAGTTTTTTATTTTATATGATTCAATATATAACTTTGAATTGATAATCGTCTATATTTCCAAATCGAAAATTTGTCTCTAAGCATGGTTTTGCTGTGTACCAACCCATATTAAAAATTTGTTTATGTTTTAGAACCTTCGAAAACTGTTTTGGAAGGCAAAATCAAAAATTCAAAGTTGTGGATTTATTGACGAATAATAATAATTTATATCTAATAAATTGATTTTTTTATTCATCGTTAAATACAATAAGAAAAGACGTTCGCAAGATAAAAAGTATGAAATCTAAAAATCACATAAGTTGCCTGCGGATCTAGATTGCTCCCCCATGATGCGAGTTATCGAAGATTTAAATTAATAATTGTATGAATCGTGAGTGAACCTTAGACCAGTGATCTGAGAATTTCACCCTTCCTCAAAAACAATGAAATACCGCAGTTGGTTAATTAAATTGACGATTCATTGTCATCGAAACTGAAGTCGAGCTCGTGTAATCTCTTGTTTATCCAAATAACTAATATGCATGACATCACCGATAGTGGGAAATTTTAACGTCGATCGGACCAAATAATTACTCTGTGTTAAGGGGTACATGACTAAAGGGGTATTTTAGCAGCAAGAGATGATTAACAAACATACACAGATCCGATCAATGATAGATTTGCAGGAACTTTACTTAACACTGGGACCAGTTTTGATTAAACGATTTCAGGGATTGCCGCAGGAGTTGCCTTTCCTTAATAGGCCAACAATTTCGAGAAGTCAAAATCTTTTATGGATGATATCGAAGTTTTGTTAATAATAATAATACGAACGTTCATTGTTGATAATTGGTTTCGTTTTGGCTGTCAATTTCATTTGGATTTAGATGTTTCTCTCCAAGAACTCTTTGACTCATCGATCTGCTTATAAAAAAAAATAAACTTCCGATAAATTAGACGTCTTGTGCAACTCTTTCCTTTGAAATTCAGTAATTAGGCACGCAATTTGGTTGACTTTCCCACGAACCGATTGACTGTCACAAGCCACATGTTCTAGACTATATCGATTATATATATAACATCCTTTTCAATTTTTATTCTCTGCAAACTCTCAGCTGTTCACCTGACCTGTAAAAACAGTTTATTGGGCATTTTCCTCTTTTTTTTTGGCAGAAGAATAAACGTAAGAAAATTATATCATCATAGGTTAACGTTTCGCGTTATTAAGTGTATTTGAACATATACTGTTAACATTTAGCGTAATGGCGCCAATGCCTCCACTAAAGTTAACACTTAAAGCAAATGCCGATAGGAAAAAAGGCGGTAAATATAGTCGTCGACCTCCTCTTCTTCCACCTGGCGGTCCAAAGCAAATTGATACGTCTGTCACGAGTCCCGGAAATTATTGGGCCACCCTTGTGCCCTTGGAGGCGGGTCTCCCAAAAATATATTTGACTGAAGGCTCTCATGTTCTAGGTAAACATTGTGAAAGACGCGAAGATCTTGATAGGTTTAAGGTACCTTGTGCATTTGAAATTTTCGTAGAGATCCCAAGACAAAATTATTCTTTCTAAAATGTCTTTTTTTTTGATCGAACAGCTTTTACCTGACGATAAAAAAATTTCGAATTCTCATTGTCTCATTTACAGAGTAAGCGCGAAGCTCGTGTTCGTGACTTGTGTGCTTAGTGGATAATTTGATGATCAACTTTTTATAATTAATAGGCAAATTCTACCGTGAAAGGTTTAACTCGTACGGTTGTGCATCTTCAAAATCTTGGGTAGGCGTTTTCGAAAAATTCTTTTCTAATAAATTTCCATGCGACTATTGTCTGACGGTGTTCTTTAATTTCTGTAGGCGTGGTACGCTCGTTCGTAACATATTCGTGGGTGACTCGACTATCGAGTTGTATGGATCCGAAAATATATCCTTTCCTTCTTCAAGAGAAGAAAAGCCGTGGTACAGATGTGTGTATAGAAGTCTGTTATATGTTATGCAAAATTTTTTGAACGCGTTTTTCCAAAACTATTTATTTTATTTCCGTCATAGACCAATTTTTTTTAGAGAATACTGCTTCGCCTCCAATGGTATTTCTACTTCTCTTTGGTCACTTTTTTTTTTCTTTAATAAATGCATGCCTATATATTTGAATGAACCTTAAAAAAATCTAGAGTTTCTTCAAAACGTACGCAATTCAAGGCGATCTGGGAAAAGGAAAATTTTCAGAAGTCAAGCTCGCCCGCCTAATAAGGCATAGGGATTTTGGGCACAGTCCTGAATATGCCGTAAAGGTCATCGAAAAGAAGTTAACATCAGGAAAGCATTTATCGGCGCTTAGGTCAGAGATCACCATCATGCATATGTACAATCATGTATGTGCACCGTCAATATTATTTCTTGCATTCGTTTATACATGCTTTGTTTTGACTAAGAAAATTTTTTAAAGCCATCATTGACCAAAATCATTGATGTATTTGACGAAGGCGATAAGCTATATCTCCTAATGGAAAAGTATGTTTTATTTATTTATCTATTTAATCGGACGTGTTGTATCATTTTAGATGAGTAACTCCTTTCTATTATATTAGTGTTCGGGACGGTGATTTCTTCGATTTTATTAACAAGAGAAAAAGATTGGGCGAAGATGAAACGCGTATAATCTTTAAACAATTGTTTGAAGTAGTGAAGGTCTTTTATTTTTATTACTATCTATTTCCTTTATTTCTTGCTGCTGTAATTATCTGCAGGTGAGGTGCTGAAGATTTTTTCCTGGTTCTACAGTATCTCCATTGCTGCCGAATTGTACATCGTGATCTTAAACCGGAAAACATTTTAGTGACAGATGCCGTTCGATATCAAGTTAAGATATCAGACTTTGGTTTGTCCAAACTTCTTGGTGCCAAGTATTCTTTAATGAACACAGTTTGTGGCACTCCCACATATGGTAAGTTTTAGTTTCCTGTAGGAAAGAAAAAATGATCATCAATCATCTCATCCCTTGTTCTTGATAGTTGCACCAGAAATCATAAACCGAGATACTGAATATGGAAAGGCCGTTGATATGTGGAGTCTTGGTGTAATCTTATACATTTGCTTATGTGGACATCCGCCATTTAGTGAACACTTTGCTCCACCTTCCTTACTGGAACAAGTCAGGTCTGGCAGATACTCTTTTCGGTCCCCCCCATGGGACAATGTATCAGACGAAGCAAAAGACCTGGTTCAAGGATTGTTAAGGGTTGATTTCGAAAGACGTTTGACCGCCGAACAGGCTTTAGCGCATCCTTTTATGCAGGTATTTTGAGTTGAGTTTTGACGATTTTTACTTTACCTTAATCTTCTTCGTGTCTCTCATGATCGTCTGTGTTTCACATAGAAACAGACGTCGCTTGTTCCAAAACCTTTGCCCACGTTACCGGATCCGAACGTCCCACTTAGACGGGTACATGACCAGTCGGCGGGTTCATCAAATGAGGAATTCCGTCGAATAATGACGACCAAGGCATCTGCGCTAATTGACAGCATTGAAAGTGCCGATAATGAAACGTTCTTGACGGCGACCGATACGATCGCGTCCTCAAGCGAGTTATCTATTGGCCTCGAAGAAAGCAGTGCTGAAACGATGTACACTGCCACCGAGAGTGAGATGTGGAGGCATAATTCGAGTCGCTCAAGTTACGAGTCGTCTCAGTCGTTCAAATTAGAAAGTGTCTGACATGCTTGGGAATATTTAATGAGCGGCATAAAATTCATCTTTTTTATTCAGGTTTGTTCCATGTTTTCTTAGCAGAGTTGTGTTGATGAGTACTTTACTTGCCGTATATTCTGTGGGGCTTATATTTTCTAATGACTCGGAAGATTTGTGTATGAAGATGGGTTGATGGTAACATAATTTGTGCAACTTAAAGATGGTCTAGTAAGAAAGAAAATTTTAAGTATATAAAATGTATTCGTATCAGGAGGTTAAACAATGTAAATGCCAGATCTGAAAAAGTTTATAAAAAAATGCAAATGTGAAAAATCTCTGGTAATAAACGAAAGTCAATTGTTTATTGCGAAACTGCAATCAAATTATTGTTAATATTTCAATTTTATTGTAATGATATTTTTTTGATTTTTAAATAAAAAAAAAGGTTTGTCAAATCAAAAAAATATCAATAATTTCTAAATACAATTTTATATATCTATTATTGAAAAATAAAAAGTATTAATATATTTATTTATTTATTTTTATATTACATTTAACAATATGTATTGTTGCTAAATTGTTGCTAAATGAATAGCCATGTTATGTGACTTGATTGCACAATTATTTATTTTATCAAGTAAACCTTGTTATCCTAATTAAGATTTAATAAAAACATAATGCATTTGAACAAGTAAGAAGTATTTTTGTAATACAAAAAAAAGTAAAGGACTAAATATGTTAAATATATCATTATACAAAAATCATGTTTTTTTGTATTTTCCTTATTACAATTATTTGATTTGCTCAAAAGTTGATTTTATTTCTTACTCAAAAAGAAAAATCAATAGAAGGACATGCATACATTTTTTAAATAAGAGCAAAAACGAACCTCGTTCATTAAGAAGTTGGAACACATTCAGGGATCACAAAAGACCGATTTAAAGTTTTTTCAAAAGCGAAGATATTTTATTAATGATCAAATGGTATCTGTTGAATAAAAAAATTTCGCAATAGCCATAAATTAAAAAGGAGGTTCTGTCAGTTTGCTCATAAACGATTAATCTCATGATAAGAAATCAATGCTTTATTACCGGTCAATATCTTATTAAGTTTGGAGATCTTGGAAGAGACTGATAGATCGATGGTCTTGTCATCCCCGAACTCTACAACCAAGCCACCTAAAATTGAAGGATTAACCTTTGATTTTTATGAAAGGGGAAAGATGTTAGCGTACAAATTCTTTAAACTACTGTTAGAAATCTAGAATTTTCACAATACTGACTCTGGTAGAAATTACAAGTTTCTGTTTCGGCTGAACAAATTTGCTCTTGTTAAGGGCAGCCGTCAGTTTTTCCAAAACCTTATTGTCGATTTCCTATAATGAGTGTGAGATTGTTTATCGAGATAAACTTTGGAGTCAATAATAAATATATTTTTTTTTTATAAAAAAAAAAAAAGTGGAACCTTGGCAGAAACGATCGTAACGGGAATTTCATTACGGTGAGCGACCATTAATGATGAAAATGCATCTATAATCTTTGTCGTCTCGTTGAGTCTCTCGTTTTCGGCCAACAAACTAAAAAAGTTCCTGGTAGTTTCGCCGTATCCCTTGAGCAATTCTTGAATGCGTTTCTTCTTCTCGTTACGATTCAGCGAAGGATCGTAGAGGAACGTGCTGATTTTGGGATCTTTGTCGATCGCCGATTTCACTTTTTTGAGTTCATTTTCAGTGTTATCTAGTGCGTTCGACTTTACGGCTGCTGTGTATAGAGCTGTGGCATAACGACCGTCGATACCATGAAGGGTTATCGGTGGCTATAAAGGAAAAAGACTTCAATGATACGGTAAACCACCCTTAAATTTGAATGTAGTAAAGAAGATATGCACCTTTACAGATTTCGAAGCCGCTGGAGTCGCAAAACCTCTAGCCAACTAGAACAGATAACTGTATTCGTCAAATCTATTGAAAAACAGCGAGCTAATCCTGCCCGTGATAAACTAACTACGAATGTACCTTTGGTATGGTGTGAAGGGCCTGTCGGGTCGTATTCAATGAAAACATTTTCATCAATCAAGTGGCCCGGTGACGAAGACGTTTATGCAAATGCACATGGTCGTGTAACAATGCGTAGAACTTTCGAATAAATTCGATTTGTGTTACAAATCAAAAGCTTACATATGAAGGGTAGACACATTTAACACGGATGGAAAATTGGATATACCGACATTGAAATATAAAAGTCGGTTGTGCAGGCCACAAAATTATTATCTTTCTCTTAACTACAATACATTTTATCAACATGTTTAATTCATTCGAGGGAAATTACAAATCGAAGCGTAGTATCAATCTTGGTGGTCAAAAGAAGCAAGAGGATAAAGAGGCTCTTGTGAGGAATACGCAGGAACAGCGGCGTGCACGGGATATTGAACGTTTGAAAAAGAAATCCGCGGCAAAAATTCAGGTTAATTATCTCCGGAATACCGAGAAAATGGTTTACTTGACCCGGAGAACTTTTAACGATCATAAAACCTTTCGTATTTCAGGCATTTTTTCGCGGTAGGACTGTTACCAGAAATTTACGCGATCAAGAGAGAGCATCATGGGATCAACAGGCAGAATTCATTCTTCGTTCAGATATTCCTAGACGGGATGTTGCTACGACCTTGATCAATCTTGTTCGCAGCTTCCTTTTTTTCTACCGGCCCCTTAGTGACGGTCAAAGAGAATTATGTTTATGCAATATATTGAGGAAACAAAATCTCGGTAAATTACTTTATCATAAGGGATCATCATCCTTGCAACCTGATTACAATATTACTTTTTCGTTAATTGTAATGTTTTTTAGATTTGGAGATAATATTCGTTCCATTCTATTATGAGGATTTGCGTAATGTATGGGCTTACCAGTTAAAAAAGGTCCTACTGATCTTTCTCAGAAGTGTCGGATCAAATTCTATGTAATATTTTTTGTTCCAAAAAAGGGTTATGAGCAATGATTTTGACAATCACCCTGATTCCTGTATATTTATTCCCGATTGTTTTAGATATGATAAAAAGAACGTAGTTCATTACTTGGAGGCTTTAATGTTAACCATGGATGTTAAAAAGTACGGGTCATCAGGTCAGTCTGTCGGAGGAAGGTCCGTATGGGGTGTTGTAACTTAAACTTCGAACTTATGAACACATTGATGAAATGTGAATATTAATTTAACTTCGATTTCCCATCAATTAGAGAAACCGCTCAAGGAATTTTAGAATATTTGGTGAATTGTGGTTTATATCTTGAATTGAGGAAGTATTTAATAAATTTAGTAAGTTATCTTAATTTAATTAATTGTGATCTGTTTGAGGTCGATCATTAATTTTTGTTTCTCCTAAATAAATAGAAAACCGAGGACAAGAATAATCCGGCAACTCGATCAATCGCGAACCTTTCTGTTCATCCGTTCCACATTCTTGCTTCCACTCATCCGATCTATCAGTTGGCTTTGCAAGATTTTATCACACACATCTTCACCATATCATCACTACCAAGTCATCTTAGTAAAGAAGCCCTGATTATATTCTCACGTCGGACACTTTATGATCTTATATTGAGGCTATCAACAATTCCTAGAAATAATTGGAATGCAGAGCAAGCGAGTATTCTTCTAAGTAATTTGGTTGTATTCACACATCGAATTGTTAAACAGATGAGTAACCCTGTGTTTGTACGCATAATTGATTCATAATACCTTATATGTTGATTCATTTTTCTTATGATAAAATTGACAAACGTGTTATATATATGTATATTTATTTAAAAAAATGATATTTTAAAGCTTGCCTATTTGACGGTTCTTCAAAATCTATCATTACAAATTCCAATTCGATCTCTTCTGGATAAATCTTCAGCTGAAGTAATTGGTAACTACCATCAGTGGAGCCGCTTCAAAAATTACCCAACGCATTCTTATTTGTGTCAATTTTCATTGCCTTGGATTTATTTCCTTTAGTAAATGATGACGATTCCGACGACGATATAATAACCGAAGGTCGTCCCGAAACTTCGCTTGTCAAAATCGATCCAGTAGTCCTAAAGAGAATCTCCTATATGTTTGACCGTCAATACTTGATTTCTGTGTTCGAATTTTCAAAGGACTCGAATTACGCCACTTTTCTCAAAGTCACCAACTTTTTGCTTACTTTAATGATACGTTGGCCTTCGAAGAAGACGGAATTGCTAAATAACATGACATACGGAGCACTTTCTACTCCGGAAATCCGTTTGTCCATTAGTTTGATATGGGAAGCGTTCAAGAAATCGGATTTGGCAAACCTATTGCCAACCAGTCAATCTATACCCCTTAATTACTTTACTGGTAATTATTATTCACTCAAATAAACCCTCTTTTCAGAAAAAGGACAAACGCTTGAATCTTAATGTGACTTGATGTTTTAAATATTTCAGACTCGACATATTCAGAACAATGGGGAATGTTTGCACTGCTTTGTGAATTGTTTAGTCAAATTTTACTTATAATGGGCGACGATGAATTCTTCGATGAAGGCAGAAATCCCCTTAGGCTTTCAGAGATAGTGGACATATCCACTTGTTTGAAGGTATTTTGTAAGGGTGGTGATGATTGTGATCTAAGATAAGGTGATTCTCTGATCGTATTCTATTTACCTCGATGTAGAATGTTGGGTTCACATTATATTGGAATAGTCCGTCGCTCAAGATGGACCTTGTAGTTGACGGTGGTTGCATTTCATTTATTTATCTGAGGGACACTGTCACCAAATTACTAAGGCAAATACATGCAAGAGAGTAAGTGTGTAAATTGATTACAAATAAATTCGTGAGGTTTTTAACTAAAAACATCATCTTGCTTAGTTCTCGTCGTCGATTCACTTCACCCGACCACTGGTTGATGATATCCGAGTCAGAGATAAGCACTTTTGCGAAAACGGTTGTTGATGAAGATCAAGAACTCGAGAGAGATCAAGAAAAAAACAACGTGGACAAACGTCAGCGGATATCCATTAGCCCAAGGCTTGGAATTTTGTATAGTATTCCTTTCGTAATACCCTTTGACGAGCGCGTAAAAATCTTTAGACAATTTGTTCGCAATGATCGTGAACGGTAAATGAAAAATATTGTCATCTATAATCTCCTTACTTTGTATTTTTTTGCATTTGTTTCACATGGTTTTCCCTTTCTTTAGAAGTTCTGGTCACCATCCTTTTTTTGAGCCTCGAACTCATGTTACCATTCGCCGAAATCATGTATTTGAGGATGGCTACGCACATCTCAATGCTGCGGGGGCAAGATTGAAAAATTCAGTGGGTATTCAGTTTATCGATGAATTTGGAATTCAAGAAGCTGGTATCGATGGTGGTGGCTTATTCAAGGAGTTTTTAACCTCGTGAGTAAAAAAAAAAAAAATAAATTTACTTTAAAATATCTGTCTCATACGCGTTCATCTGTTTGTCAGGTTGACACGTATCGCCTTTGATACAAATTTCGGTCTGTTCCTAAGCACAAAGGAACAACTTTTGTATCCAAACCCACAAGCTTACGCGAGACAAGGTAAATCTGAATTCATATCTCTCTTGATTATACTTCATCATTAATCCTAATATCGTGCATTTTTAGATGAGCGTCTCAATTATTACGAGTTCATTGGTCGTATACTGGGTAAGGCACTGTACGAAGGAATTTTAGTGGACGCCGCGTTTGCCGGATTTTTCCTTAGCAAGTGGCTCGGGAGAACGTCATATTGTAGGTTGCTTCATTCAGATGACTTGTCTGATGAAAATTAGTTGAGGCTAATAAGATATTATCGACTTAGTGGATGACCTACCTTCCCTTGATCCGGAATTATATCAGGGCTTAATCATCCTGAAAAATTATAAAGGAAACGTAGAGTCTGATCTATCATTAAACTTCACCGTGGTCGACGACGGTAAATATATCATAGTTATGCGTGATCATTTTTCTTTGATCTCATGAGATTCCACTTTGTGCAGAATTCGGGGAGCAACGCACTATTGAATTGGAGGAGGGAGGTAGCGATATACCTGTCACCAACGAGAACCGTATCCGCTATATTTACCTGATGGCGAATTATCGACTAAATAAACAAATCGAACGTCAGTGCAAGTCATTTTTCCGCGGATTATCAGACTTGATAAAACCAAAGTGGCTAAGAATGTTCAATCAAGTTAGTTTGTCACTAAAATTCGACCCATTAATACGCACTTTACAAGATGCATCTGTAATCGAAAATTCTCTTTTTTCAAAACAGCAAGAACTACAGATCCTTGTTGGAGGGGCATATATTCCCATCAACCTTGAGGATCTACGAAGAAACACCGTGTACGCCGAATACAAAGATGATGACCCCGTTATCATTCACTTTTGGAAAGTTGTATCGGAATTTTCCGAGGAACAAAAGCAAAAATTAATAAAATTTGTTACATCGTGTTCTCGACCACCTTTACTTGGGTTTAAGGAGCTTAATCCTAAGTTCAGTATACGAAGGGCTGGCTCTGGGACCAGATTACCCTCGTCAAGCACTTGTGTTAATTTATTAAAATTACCTGCGTATCCAGACGAAGATACGTTGAGGGAGTATGTTTCTTTCCAAATACTATTTTTTATTGGCCCATTTGAAAATTCTAATCTCTCAATTCTAAAATTAGGAAACTGTCGTACGCCATTAATGCCGACGTAGGTTTCGACCTTTCTTGAACATTATTTGTGATTGTTAAATTAGTGTACCATAAGATTTTCTCATTTGTATTTTGACTGGCGAGAATGTTGATGACGTCACGAAGCGCATGATTCTGATCTAATCAAGTGCTACTTGAACAAATTAAAAAAAATAATTGTTTTTGTCTAAATATACAGTAAAGAACGTAATACATAACCTAATGATCGATTCATTGTGCCAAACCCTTATTGTTTCCGATCATTAAATCTTATCAAAAAAGGAAACGCTATAAGAATTATTCCAGTACAATTGTGATTTCTAAATATGGAATTTTTTTAGTTAAATATACACTGATGCAAAATGTGGAACAAATGAGTTCCTCCTCTCTCTCGCTCCATATCTACACACACGAATCCTTTGAAAAAACTTTTTTCTCTTTACAAACATGAGTATTGAACAAATTTGGGATGAATATAAACAACAACGTGATGGAGATTATTTCACTGACAGTGCTTCAGTAGTTTTCGTTCCTACAGCATCTGGAGCAAGGGGATATGATGCTGTGAGACAATTTCTTGCAGCGGCGTACGATCCTCGAGTACTTGGAATAAAAGAAAATGTTATAAAGAGGACTGTTGGGCCAGATTCTATTGTTGAAGAGTTAGATACAACCATCAGCTTTGTTACTGGTGAAGGAAGTTGGATTGTTCCAGGTGTAGACAGTAGATACTTGGTTGACAATAAGGTCGTCATTCCAATGGTGACTACAGCGACATTCGAAGGTGATAGAATTATTTCTATCCGCATCTACTGGGATCAAGCTTCTGTTTTGAAACAGCTCAAATTGGTTTCCGATAAGAATTCTTGGCCTATCGTGTCTGAAAAGCAAGTGGACGCTTTGAGGGATATTTCCAGTGCTCACCTCAATCCTTTCGGCCGAAATGATTTGGCCGCTGGCGTTTCACGTATGAATATCAGCCAACCACAACCGACGGGTCGCCGAGGCGTCCACACATCTAGCCGAGTCCTTCAACCTGGTGGTACAGGTGGTAGATCTTCAGTTTTTGGTGATGATTCGGAGGACTCTTTTACCAGTCGCAGCAGGTACAATTCAAACAAAAATCAGTCTCAGTTCTCTATTGGGGAAGACAATGAACAAGCGCCTTATGAGAGGCTCACACACTCTCAAAAAAAGATGAACCCAAATTCTAACGCATCACAGATTCAGATTGGCGACGATTTTATGGATGATCAATTGAAAAAACGAGGAACTGGGAGCAATGAAGATTCTGGTACACGCACAGCTTACAAGCCCTCAAGCCGCATCACAAAACCTCCTGGTGGCGGTGGCTCCCAGATCACCTTTGGTTAAATTCTTTTAAATGCCGGACAAAAAAGGCTAGATTTTGCTCAAAGAAAAAAACAAAAAAAAACGTAGATCCATTTTTCCTTTATCTTCTGGAGGGTTTGGTTGTAAATTGATTTATCTTCTGTATATAAATTATACCGTTGATACTAGTCACGTTGTCTCAGACAAAAATGCATATTAATATTTTTACTTCTCGTATTGTCATAATAAAAAAAAATTTTTTTTTATGGGCGTTTACTGAAAATTAATGTTAAACATGATGAGTGAACAACAAAAACATGCCATTATTACAATTATAATTCGTGAATTTTCGGGATAGTGTGTGATAGTTCCAAATAAAAAATGTTTTTTATTTTTTGGTGTAAAAAATTGTTTCTGGTCCTTTAAAGTGGAATTCTTGTCATCACAAAGTCAAAGCCTGCACAATTGGAAGTGTTGATCAGGGTGAAAAAAGAGAAATGTAAATTTTACGCCCAAAATCACAATCACATTTAAAAAAAAAAAAAAAAAATTCAATCACCATAATAGCATTAACGATATCGTTGTTGTTACTCTTGAGAGCTTTTACGGCCTTGGCACGAGAGACATTCTGAGAAGGGTGAAATTTACAAACTTAAGCGACAATTCACCACAATTTATCAATGAAAATTTATTTGTAATAAAAAACAAAAAACGCACAGCTTGCATCATGACCAATTCAATGTCTTTCTGCTCAACATTAGATTCATCTATATTCAAATCTTCTTCGTCTTCCTCGGCGCCTTCATCTTCTACTTTACTAATTGCTTCCTGTGTGGCTGCAGCATCGGCCTGGAATTGTTGTTGTGCGTTGGCCTGGGCTTGAGTATTGAGGTCCTCAATTTTAGCTTCTCCAAATACAATATAGCAGTCAGAATTGGCCGATTTATAGACATCAGGATTAGAGACTACAAAGAGGATCTAAGCAAAACATATAATACAGCAAACTGTGAGAGATGATCGTTGGTAAATGTCGCGAAAAAATAAACTCATAATGATAGATAAAACGCGTATGCCCTTCTATCGATCGCTTACATTTTTAGGCCTTCGAATTGTGACACGGTTAATACCGGTTACAAGTCTCAATCCCAATTTTTGCATCGCTTTACGGGCCTTTTTTTCCCCACGGCTCTGATTCTGAAGTTTGGCAAGATCTGCCGGAGCAACATCAGACGGAAAGTCTCTATCTCCTTCTAGCCCCGGAATTTCATCCGAATCTTCGTCAGATTCGACGGTAGTGGCCTTATCTTCCAAGGCTTCTTCAATGATTTCTTGAATCTTTGCAACTCCCTCTTTCTCCGAAGCTTTGGAACCTCCGGCTGAATTTTCATCAGTGATTTCTTGAATCTTCGGCTCACTTATCTCATCTGCCATATTGATCAAGTAAAGTGAATTGGGATTTTTTTTTTTTTTTATCGAATGTAACGCCTATCAGGTCAGGTGATTACAAATATCATAAAATTTTTAATTATATATTATAAAATAAAAATTTTTTTATTAAAAACTTGATAAATTTTTTAAAAAATATTACAAGTTAATTAAATATCTATTTCATTATTTTATAATTATTGTTTTTTAAAAAAAAAAAACTCTTTCCTGTACACAACATTTTTCCTAAAAATTTCCTTTTATAGTAATTTTCAAAATTAGAGAAAATATCCCTTTCGCTTTCCA